AGCATCCCTGAAACAATGCATTCGTCCTCAGATATCCAATCTGGAGAGTGCAAGGGCCAAAGAGAGAAAAAAAAACTTATGAGGAAACCAAAATGATGGCAAAAGCTGACCCGCGACCCACTACTTTAATTATTAACAGTGCAGTAAAAAATCCAGTCATTCACCGAAAACATATTTTATTATGAAATTTTATCAAAGCAGCAAATTTTTTAAGCAGTTATTTTCTCTCGAAGTAAAATTACATTTAGTTTTAGTGAAGTTTACATTTATGGCACTTGCAACATAATAAGGTCATGAAGATCCAAAGATTAGAGATATAACTAGATAGTAACATACAATTTATAAAAGAGGAAGGAGAGATAAGGACAAGAGACGTTTGATAGGAAAGAAGGAGCAAACCACACCAGAGCACCCACCTACCACCCACGAATCATTCTTTTACTCTCAGTCTCAGTCAACACTTTCAACAATATTCGGAAGCTAATTTTCACCCCATCAATCTTTAAAGAATGATTTCCCTGACTGATACCAAAAAATTTAAGTTTCATTTTGAGCAGTTACCTATCATATGCATTTTACATGATAAAAATGAAAACAGTGTATTTTTATGAAATGAAGACATGAAACATCTAATAAATACCTAATAACACCAAAGCTCGGGGTTTTTTGTTCATTTTTTAATGTCTAAACAATGAGTGTGGTTTCAAAAATCCCATGTCTATATTATAAGAATAGACTCCATAAATCACAACATAATTTCATGTACAGAAAGCAAAATAATTGCAAGTCCAAATAAAAATTTGTCACAATAAAATAATTTCAACTTAAAAACAATCACATATCACACCAGCATCAGCACAATAAATAATTACTGAATCAAACATTATATACGAGATAAATAAAATTTATGATATCATTCCAGACAACGGTGTGGCTTCAAAGTAAGCAGCATAAATCAACATTAGTAATCAACCAGTGCTAAACAAAACATTTCATAAGGAACAAGCGTTGCTTCAGATAGAATCCTGTACATCCATTTTTAATGGAATTGCCTTTTAGTCAATCGAGACAATCAATCAGCCATCAGGAGACACTAAATTTAAACTGTTTGTCTGTCTGTCTGTCTGTCTGTCTGTCTGTCTGTCAGTCTGTCTGTCTGTCAGTCTGCCTGTCTCTCTGTTTGTCCGTCTGTCTATCCATCTGTCCATCCCTTTCTCCACCCATGTCCTTCTCCACCCATGTCCTTCTCTCTCTCTCTCTCTCTCTCTCTCTCTCTCTCTCTCTGCGCCCTCCAGATTATGTATAAAAAAGAGACATTCATAATTCAGACAGAACAAACTTAAGAAAGAGGACTTTCAATAGATCCATTGGCTATAAGACACAAATGGAAATAACCTCAGCTGATACGTGTATGTCAACATATACATTACATTGTAATTCAATAGGAATTTCTGTTTAAAACATAAATTTCTTTGGTTTTAAAATTTTTTTAAAGTCTAGAGAGACATAAGAGTTCCCAATGAAACCTGATATATGAGAACATAATCGTAAAAACGAGGGGAGACAGACAATAACAAAGTGGAGGACAGTACACCTCATTTACATTGCTGAAACTTTTACTTCTCGCAAAACAGCAGCATACCTAGAAACAATTTAGTATATCGACAAGGGCTCAGAAAAAAATCTTGTAAATGAACTGCTCTACCATTGGGACAATTCTATACATCACGGGCTTACTCTTTAACACCTTTGGGACCAGCGATGTATTTATACACGAACTGCACCTGACCAAATCGGACCACTGACATGTATTTACACGATGGCAATACCACTCATTCAAGCCAGTCCAGGTTTACTCAAAATTATCCATGTTCTCCGACAGCTAGTTCAAGCATAAAAGAGTTCTTTCCCTTTTGTATTCACCAAAGCTGAAGCCAGTTTGAGTAGATTAAAAGTGAAAAAATGTCTTCAAAACGAGTATTTACAAGGGATGTGGGCGGCGGCTCCGGCCCTGGGGATAGGATCAGCTGGTGAGGGACCGGTCCCGAAGGTGTTAAATACAATTAATGACTAAATTTGCAGAAATACTGATACATTTTTAAAAAACTTGCTAATAATGTCCACTCCTGCCAATAAAGTGACCGTTAAAAATTTCTCCTGTTGTCATCCTGCAGAAGCACAGCCTGCTACCAGGGCATATTAAAACACAGACTCGAGCAGCCTGAGGTGGAAGTCCAAGATTCAAACCCAAGTGTGATTCAATTTATTTTCTCGTCTTTCTTAAAATAACATTTCCTCCCAGTCCAGTAACATGAAATCTGCATAAAAAAGAAAGCTTGGCCTATGAGAAGACCAAAAGTGAGTCTAGCTGGCTTGTAAACTTTATTTCTTTATAAAATGCAGCTTTCTTGTATTCCATAAAAAGCATTTTTGAAAACAGAAAAACTTTCTTGGCCGCTATTCTCAGGAAAAAGCTCACACTCACTACCTCAGCAAAATAAAAGAAAGAAAGCACAAAATGGAAAGCGTAGTCCGTACAAAGTACAGGGTAGTCTGTGTGGCCTTCTCATATACTCAGAGAAACCAGTGTATTGATCTGGGTATCAATACTCAATATTATAAAACTTTTATGCTTTGTCTAAAAGAGGTACATATCACAGCCAAAATGATAAATGTTTCAGCAAGACACTACAATAAAATGCAAATACAACTATGTAATGTTCTGTCTTTTCATTATAGCGAACACATTTCTAACAGGTGTTGAAGAGTAGTAAGACATTTCTTTGTTAGATTTAATTGGAAGTTACTCAGACGAAAATAATCAACGAATACATACATAAAGAGGTGAACTTACATTCCAAAAGGCTAATGCAAGTTGCAAGAGAAAGGTGGAGTAAACTACATCACCAAAACTTTCCCCTCAAAAACATAAAAACCATAGCGATCATTCTATTGTCCGTGATCAACTAGCAAACCATGTCAATATCTGCCCTGTAAAATTTATAGCTTCTGTTTAAATAAAGAAGTTGGGTAACAGGGATAAAAACATTCTGGCTATGGAAGTGTCAACACCCTCTGCTATCAAAGACAAAAATAAATGTCAGTTACAGAATGGCAGACACACACATAAAGAGAACAATATTCATGAGAAGAAAAAAACACAAAAAAGCACCAAAAAAAAACATTTCCATTGCTGGATTATGATGCATTCGCTATTTCAAAGACAATTAACTCACTCAATTCCCAGAGTTATTCCCGAAATTGTACCCAGAAACCGGTCATTTTGGCACCTGTGTAAGGGCCCACTAGTAACCATAAATATAATCCATTGGCTTTGAAATTTGGCACAAAGTACAAGCTAGGATGGATCTTTCAACATACCAAATTTGAAGTATGGAGCTTTAGAAGTTTTGCTTTGGGAGGTTGTATTTTGGGAGCTTATAATTTTTTTTCATGGCCGAATGAGAAAGAGCAAGCCTACATTACTACATTGTTATTCAAATATGCTTGTGAGTTTCTAGATCTATATATTGTATGTCATGTACAATAAAGTCCGTAGAATACTTTCAAAATTTTTTTTTTAATGTGCGTGAGAAAGGCAGAGAGAATCGATTGCGAGACATGCTCAGTTGATCAGTGTGAACAAAAGAGCAGAAATTTCTTTTATAAAAACGCGATTTCTCTGTGTGTAATGACAGTAGAAAAAAAACCTCCCAGTACCCCTCTAGGCAGAATTATTTTAGTTTTAGTAAGAGTTTTACGGCACTTGCAACACAATAAGGTCATATAAGTGCCGAAGATTAGAGGTGTTATAAGAGAGTAACAAACACAAAACAGACCGAGGGGAGGTAGACTTGACCGGGGAAATAATATATTGACCTTATATAAAACTTGAGGCCGTTTTACGAAATGAAATAACTAGTATACGGAACAAAATTATAGAACCGAGTTATCCCGGTCGAGGGATTGAATGCAGCCCGGGAGCTAGCCGAGATATCTCCGTCATGGGATTGAGTGACCGTCATGGGATTGAGTGAGTTAACTACATCTGCTTTTGAGTCTTTGAATTTGTTTAACATAAAATGATTACCAGCAACTGTGATTCCTCTCTTCAATGGAATATCAAACAAACAAGCACCGATTACTAAAAGTAAGTACAGCCCATAAAAACATGATGCAACACTACGGTCAATTTTAAAAGTACAGTATATGCAGTTTTTGCAATTTCACAGGAGAGCCAAAAAATTGTCTTTGCAAACATCCCAAATCACTATTTTTAAGAATACAATTTCGATAATAAGTTCCTATCATATTTGAAGCAAACATTGTGTTCTTGGAAACAACATTCAGTTTTTTGGCTCTCCTTTAAAACTATAAAAACTGTACACACTGCACTTTTTTTTAAATGATGGTAGAAGAGATGATCTATCCAAACAGTAACATACCACAGCGTAAATAATGTTCTCCCTTGGGTTGTAACCCTGCTTTACTAACTGAATACTGGTCTGGTTATGAATGCTGCCTGAATGTCCATACAGCAAAATAGAAGAGGGACCAGTTCTGTACTGAAGACAAACTGTAAAGCTCCACATAGACAAAGCAGGCAGACATGCTGAGCAGACAGAAAAACATACCATGATTAACTCACATGGGCCTGAGCTATTTTTCACCCAACAACCATCACAGCCTGACAATTTTAGAGTATATTGAATTGTTAACCGCAAAGAGACTGTGAAAGCTATCATAATAACAAATGTGCAACAAAAGAAAGAAAGAAATGCTCTCACTGAAAAAGATGCATTTAATTCGTCTGAACAGTTTTTATTTTATTAATATTTTTAAATGGCAACGTATGGGCATTACGCAATTTTTGTTTTTTGCACCAATTTGTAATAAAATCTTCTATCGCAATGGGGGGAGAGGACTGACTTAGTTCGTTATGGCTAAAAAAAAGTATTGCAAATGACTTCACCAATTTTTTTCCAAAACAAAAAAAGTGCGTCAACTGTTGGCTCGCTGCTTCCCATAGATTGTAACTGAAATACACTGGAGACATCGATCGATAAAGTGCATCCTCTAAATACACAGGATTCAGTTACCGGACCGGCGGCCTGTCCCATAAATACATGGGAATAGGCTCAAGTGAGACAATGAAGAACAGAGTGCAATTAATACCCTCATCAAATATACACACACTCATAGAAGTTAGCACCCATGAAAGTGCACTCTTAATTCAAAGACACTTTGGGTCTTTTGTATAAGAGAACCTTTTAAACTGCAGCAAAAAAAACTTTTTTTTCTGGAGTAGAGAACAATAACAGTACTGAATCATTCACCCTTCACCAATCTCAAACGGATCAGAAAAGTAAAAGAAATTTTGTGTCAAGCTAACAACATCTTTTTTTTTTAAAAAGGTAAGCCAGATATGTTATAGTTGCCTAACCAAAACCATTTCTCAGCGACACATAAACTGAGCATAGTTTTTCTAAAGAGATTTACTGCACTTGCAACACAAGTAGGTCATATTTGCGCCGAAGGTTGGATGTATTACTAGAGAGAAATATACAAAGGAAAGGAGGAGAGATAAGACACTAGCTATTTGATAGGAAAGAAGACTGAGCACACTAGAGTCCGCTCAGATATTTTATTTTCTTTCCCTTCACTAATTAAGCAAAACCTAAGAGAGCAATAATTCATAAAGAAAATCCATCCCTATTTATTTCCATAACTGCCAGGATTTTAACTGTTTAACCCGTTTTTCAAAAGCAAAGGGAGTGCTGGATTGAGGGCAAGCTGTTTGCCTACGCATGCCAAAGTTTTTAAGCCAAACACACCATGTTGGTAAGCAATCTTAGGAATTTTAAAAACTCCAATTCACTTTCACTCTGACTAAAAAATAGGCGCGTAATCAAGTATCTTGCTTTCTCAGACAAGAACAACTTACAAAAAAGTCCTGTAGGCATATTGTGGATAATAAAGACAAGTTTTAAGAAGGCCTGCTCAGGTCAGCTGCATCTGTAACATTCTGAGTTATACCTTCAAAAAATGAAGAAACTCTAATTGCTGCAATTACGCAAGAGTACCCTTAATAACTGTGGCATTTAGCTACTCCAAAAGCAATGCATACTACTGATCTCAATAAAAAAAAGTGAGTAGAAGAAGTTTAAGTCTACAATAAAGCAACAGAAGAAAAAGAAGAAAAACAAAGATACCAGATAGTCATTGAGGGCATTGAAAATGATACAGCCAATTTCACACCGCCATTCACAACAGTCTAACGGACACAATAACAGAAATGTATCGTCGTAATGGAAACCAATTTCCCGCAATGTCGAAAACATGTCTTCCAAGTCATGCAAACAAAGGCATAATTTGGTCAAAGTAACGTTACATAATGAGAGGGAGTGGAGAGGGATAAGCACAGCAACGGGAACACACAAAAGTGAGTGCATGTGTAACATGATCAATAACACATTTCTTGACCATACATTTGTCTCTGTACACAGAAAAAGAGTTGCTGATCAAGATAATAGCGATAGTACAGTGACGCCATGCTTTCTCTGGACAACACACACGAAGGAGGACATGCTGACACACACGCCACAAGCAGTCAACAGTGGCGTAAGAGAGTACTTTGTTTTGCTGTGTAGTAAGGCAAAGCAGGCACTCTCTTTGAGAGTCATAAGATTGGACGAGACTCCTCAAAAATGCTGCAGAACGTTAACAGGAAACCAATACTGAAAGGTCATAACTAAACAATTTGAAAAGTCAGATTCTTTTCACAACCCAAAATGCATTCTCTTGCTATTTTTTCAAAATGATGCTAAGTCGTATCGCGAATCAGTCAAGCAGTTTTACCTTTCAAAGCATCTTTCACTTTTATGACCTGTGGTATATATAAACAAATCTTATCACTTTTCGCTGCATAATGCATAGTGCCACTAAAAAAACACAAATGGAATGATGAAGCATATAACAAATCAATTCATAGAATCAAATATTTAAGTCTCTGTAAATCCTTGGTAAAGTCAAGCTGACAGAGCGTCCTCGGAGGGATTGGTGGAAACCTCTATAGCAACTGTCAACTGCGTTGATTCACATGGGCCTTAAGCAGCATCTCAACAATGTTAATTACAGAACGCTCCATCTTTTGTCAAATTCAGTGCTCATCAACATTTTTACAGCCACTGCCAATCTTTTTTCATCTCTAAGAGGCTAAAATGTTCCTACTGCCCCCAACTATGTGTATTTCCAAGGGGGGGGGGGGGGGGCATTTAATAATACCAGCCACTACCCTCGTGATCACCACAGCTGTGCATAATGCACTAAAATGTCCAAATCACAGACTAGTGGGCAATACCGTCCAGGTTGGAAAATACCGGCATAGATAATATAGCATTGAGATGAGTGAACATGACACACAGGTGTTTTTGTTTAGTTTGACTTGTAATATTTTTCTTACGGGCTGGGGCAGAAAGGATGCGATGGGGGAAGGGTAGATAGCCAAGTGACAGTAAAACATAAAAACCGTTTTCAAAGCAGATTTTAAAAGCAAAAGTCACATATTTGAATGGCTCAAGAAGCATGCACAAGTACAATTACATTCAGAAAGACACTGTGCAAAAGTTCAGGTCAAATAGTTGAGAGCAAGAATAAAAATTTCCCTTAAAAGTTAGAAAACTGCCTTTCTTATAATCTATAGTCCACCTCATTTTAACAAAAAATTGATGAAAATACTTGCTAAAAGTGCTAAATGGTGTAACGTTCAAACACAAGAATCTCCCCACAGCCATGCCAAAAATTTTTAAGTTAAGGATAAGGTCAAAAATTTCCTTCAAGCAGGTAATATTTCAGATGATCAAAAAATAGTGATTCTAAAACATAGTTTACCAGGTGGTTAACAAACTTGCAATAGCAGACTAACAGGATCAATCTTCAAAACATAACAAAAGTTTGTGTTATGATGTGACGGATCCTTAAAGCAGTAAAGGAGGAAGAACAAGACTTCAAAGTTATTTTGTTTGGTCAGTCCCCAAACTATTCATAACATAAGCAATTATCCTTTAGAAGACGAATTTGCATTCTTAAGACTCGATATTGTACATAATGTATTTCTGTTATACAACTTTGTGTACAATTTCACTAGCGGACCAAAAGCAAGCTCAAATCTTTAAACTATTACTGGGAAAACAAGTGAAGATATGTAGTATCAAATCAGCTCGTCTAACAAAAACTTGTACCTGAACATATATCTGTACATATGCAGATAGACCTTTAAGTGATAGCATTGAATTTCTTTCATAGGTCACACAAAGGGTCCACAAAACAAGCACTGTACACCGGGGGGGTTTGTATTTTGCCCATTACATTTGTCGTAAACATCCGGAATTTGCAATTAGGAGTCGCCCAGTAGTATTATGTGTTTCAATACAGTAACACCCTTTTCAACATTTTGTAAGCAACTTGAATTTGCGAATTTCTTTGAAAAATCACGAAAATCGCAAAATCAAGTAGGAAACAAAAAAACCCCGGTATCCAGTATTCTTCACATTTATTTGTAGAAAAACATCAGGTTTCCAGCAAATCTGCCTGCAGTGATGAGGCGAATTCCCACAAATGTGTAAAGCGCACTCCTGCATCAAAGCTGTTATTACATGCAAAAATGCAGATGAGACCTAAATTAATGCATGAAATGTAGGCACAAGGAGTATTTTAGCATGAGCGTCATGTTGATCTGCTCTGATTACTTCTGTCTACAAAAGCTTTGGCTGAGAACAACCCGTGCTCTGCTGTTCTGCCTGTAGTTATTGGAATTGTGGGAAATAAATAACTTTCTGATGCAAGCCTAGTTGCTACCACACACACTCATATGAACGTGTTGAGAACACTTAACAAGCTAGCACACTCCTTGAGCGCAAATGGTTCGGGAGGTCACGAGTTGATGACGAGGCACTAGTCAGCCCCCGACTAGTATCAGTGATGCGACTCTTCTGTGATCAGAGAGGCTGTCTGTTCCCGATCCAGCTCTCGCACTCTGCAAAAACAAAAACAATAAAACAGGGATAAGAGAAACGCTTTACAGAAAAAGTTTTTAGTGGATGTATACGATGTATGAATAATTTATCTTTAAAAAAATCAAGAAACTCACAAAATCAACATGGACACAGAAAAAACCCTGTACTGTACTCTTCACAGACTGCATTTCATATGCAATAAACATCCGGTTTCTAATAAGACTGTCAGCAGTTTGTTTTGTTTAAGTAGAGGTTTTACGGGGCTCGCAACTGCATAAGGTCATATGAGCGCCAAGGGGTGGATGTCAACAGAGAAGTCCTTACAGGGAATCAGACCTACTCTGCTCATCTCTGTAGCTCCAACAGCACAAAATCTGCTTCGACTGTCAAGGCACCCCGGAAATAGTTGGTCACAAGAGTGTGACAAACATAAAAAAGAAGTAGAGGAAAAATGACGATAGTAAGGATTAGGAAAGAAAAAGCAGCAGTTCCCTGTTGCAGTTCAGGCACAGTTATGAGCACAACATTGATGAATCATCCCATTTACAATTCTACAGTGCATAAGAACAGATTAATGTCCCCCATTTGGGAATGGCCTAAAGGCCCAAGGGGGGGGGGGGGGGGGGTTACTGTCAGCAGTGATGAGGTGAAGTCCAACAAATGTGTCAAGTGGAGCTCCACTGACTACACTCCATCGCATAACCTTGCAACACGAAGGCTGTTATTATAAGCAAACATGTGCATGAGACCAAAATTAATGCATGATACGCAGGCACAGGGAGTATTTTAGCATCTGTGTCATGTTGCTCAAAATAGCTCCATCACTGTTGAGAATTTCTTTAGAAGGTCCTCATCCCCGCAATATTATGTCTGTCAGTGTTGTTTCATAGTTCATGGACTGCCCCAATCATAAAACAGTAAGATATACCCTTACACCTTGTTTGATTTCATATGTGCCAACAAAGTCTGTCCTTTGAGGCATATCAGTGAAGTCACGGGAAGGAAGGAAGGGAAGGAAGGAGTACTGGAGCAATCTACTTCCTCTATGTCTACCGTCCCGGCAAAGCTGGAACATGCATACTGCTTAAACTCTTTCACTACCGCAAGCCGTGTTCCTGCCCCAAAACCACACCTACTTTTATTATAATCGAATCTGAAATCTCAGGCTGAAGAATGATCATTTTTCGCAACATGTTGAGATAGGCTAGTATTTCCCCTCTATTTTTCACATATAATACATGTGACTAATATTGAAAATTGAACTTTAAATATCTTTAATTTGTCCAACAGTTGGCAGAATCAGAAAGTAGGTCACAGATAGGTCCCGCGGTCCAGTTGAGGAAGCCCCCCCCAGGTAGTGAAAGAGTTAAGATTGTCCGTCAAGATGCAAAAAGCCATAGGTCCAATAACCAATGAACTGGCCACCCAAGTGAATAACAGAAAGTTACAAACTTTGGTCATCTAAGGCAGGGTACATGACTATAAATAAGCATTTAACTTTAACCTCAAAGATTACCTTGCTAGAGAGCGCCTCCGACACAAGCAGTGCAACAACTTCTTGATACCCAGCAGTACAGGGTCCCAGTTCTCCCAGTGGGTGAGAAAACTGATCACGAAGAACGCGAAGACAATGGGGATGGTGCCCAGGTAGAACAACAGCTCAAAGCTCACCTGCGGAGACAAAGACAAAAATCAAGATAGTATAAATGTAAATTAAATGTGTTTAACACTTAAATTACACAACGTTGATCATTTGGTCACTTATAAGCACAAGGAGGCTATCCTGAAAAATGCTGCCTTGAGAAAATCGAAGGTAAAGTTTTTGCCCCTCATTCAGTGTCTTTAAAAGACAAGGAGAGTTTACTCTATATCTAAACAAATATGCACACCAATGAAACCAATCTTCTCCTATAGGAAGAGCAATGCCCACTTTTGGTGTAGGTCAAGATTTCTGGAAAACCCTGAAATCTGGGTTAGCCCACTTGTCCTTAAAAGCAACCATTTAAGAAGCAGGCTGCTTTGACCATGTCAGTCAAAGCAAACCCAATCTGTGTGTGATACATCCTGGTAGAAAGACGAATATCCTGGATGCAATAAGAACCTTCAGGCTCACATCAATGACCACCAAGATTTCATACCATAATAAATTGCTGAAACGACACACCCTGAGTCCCACAGCTACAATTAATATTAGACCATATTTTTTGCCTTGCCTTCTCCATTGTCTCTCCTGTCTGAGAAAAGTATACAGTGATTTCAACCATCTGTCAGCAGTCTTATTTCCAGAACAGATCAGAATAAGTCTAACAGATGTTGTTGTTGTTGTTGTTATCGATCCAGCAACAGCTGGGCTCTCGCCCTTCTGTCCAATGCCATGTAGTGATAAGTGCAGGTCTGCTGCAGTTGCTGTAATGTTCCATAGAGTGTGTTGTCTATGTTAGGTCTCGGAGGGAGAAGGGTAGCTCTGATGTCATTTAGGGCTGTGCAGTGGAACAGGTGATGCTCCACAGTCTCATATGCATAGTCACACAAGGGACACATTGGGGGAAGTTCCGGGTTTATTCTGTTCAGGTGGAAGTTGAGCTGTATATGTTCTGTTCGTAGGCGGAAGATCGTGGTCTGTTTCTTTCTCTGAAGGTGGTTGATATTGTCATTCCTTTTTGTTGGGGTCATATGTTTGAAAACTGCTCTGCCCGTCTTTCCCAGGGCCCATCTGTTCATCCAATCTTGTTTGTTGTTGCTTTTGATGATTTGTTTTGCAGTGTTGTATGAAGTAAGTCTAACAGATAACTAGCCTTCTCTTCTCAATTCTAGAAATAAATATGACACACTTTCTCTCTCATTTTATCTTCTTTTCCATCACTGCCCCTGTCTAAGCCAAACAGAAAAATAAATATTAAGCCCCAATTTACTTCTGAAGAAAGGAACACCAGTCAAAATGAAGAACACTCAAAATGGTCTGTTATCCAATCCAAAAATTCTCTTATAACTACAAAATTCCCATATTTTTCCTTCAAAGACACCTTGACTCCTTTCCGCTTCAATACTTCAAAATATGTTCTCCGAGAATTCTACAACAATAGAGTTTGGGTAGAGAGTTTCATAGCACTTGCAACACAAATAGGCTTATAAGTGCCAAAAATTAGACGCGTTACTAAAGAGTAATATGTAAAGAAAATAAGGAGGAGCGATAAGGATAATAAATGTTAGCTAGAAAAGGAGCAAAACCACACCAGAACACATGCCAACCACCCACTATAACAGAAGAAGAAGAAAACACGCCCTAAATAGGAACTTGTTGTCTAAAGTCGTGGCATCTTGACTTTTAAAAAAAGCTATCTTTGTGAACAACAAAACGACAGCAACAAGTAAGGCTACTTACCCCTTTGATGACACCATCAGCAATCATGTTCATCGGAATCACCAAGCTCAGCGCCAACGTGGCTATGAGAGATGACGACAAGAAGCAGCCCCTGGGAAGGTAACCACAACAACAGTAGAGTATTCATCACATTTTCACATTTCAAACCTTCAAAAACCCTGAAAACAAGAACCAAACTGGGGGAGAGCTATGAAAACTCCGTAAACAACAAAAGTTCAAGAATGTTCCATCAAAGACTCAAACTAAGATCCTCCACACTAAAGACCAGCAAGATACTAACTAGAAGAAACATCATAAATGAATCCAAACAAACTAAAATTACAACATGAGAGTGAATATAAAGCTTCTAAGTACAGTCGAATCTGCTTTGATAGCCACTTATTTAAAATAATCACCTATACAAATGGCCACTTCCTATTTCCTCCTTTGCGTATCTATACATTATAATGACACTGTGTAAGACGGTCACCTGTCTAATGCAGCTACTTTCCTCCTCCACAATAGCTGGTTGTCTTAGACGGTTTTGCCAAAAATAAGTCCTTCATTTCTGGAGAACCCTCATATCTGTTTATGCTATAATTACTTAGCTAGCGAGAAATTGCTAAATTTAAATGTTTCAAAAGAAAGAAAAATTATGCAACAAAAATGTAACGTGCAGAAGGAAATTTTAAAAGAATAAAAACAACCCCCCCCCCAAAAAAAAATTGCTTTAAAATTACAAAGAAGAAAACAATAATGAAACAAAGCTAGTAATGCTATGGGGGGGAAAATGAAAAGAAAGATTTCACAAAAATAGTCCCCCTCCCCTCTACAACTTATCCCCCTTAAACCTCACTATCATTAACCAGTTCCAGTCACACTTGCTTCAAAACAAACATCAGACTAACAATCCCTGTAACAATCCCTGTACTCACAAGAGCCATAAGAACTCCGACAACACTGTGCCAATGGCGCCATTGAGTAGGATAAAGAGCCATTGTGTTCTGTTAGGCCAGACAAACGGCTCCGCACCCGTGTAATGCAGCACAAAGAAGCCCGGCCACAGTACAACTGCACAGATCAGACCCACGAAACCTGAGACACAGGGAAAGGTTTTAGTTTTAGTAAGGTTTTACGGCATTCGCAACTGCATATGGTCGTTTGAGCGCCAAGGGGTGGATGTCAACAGGGGAATCAGACCTACTCTGCTCACCTCTCTAGCCTCAACAGCACAAAGTCTGCTTCGACTATCAAGGCACCCTGGAAATAGCAGTTCACAAGAGAGTGACAAACATACAAAAGAAGTAGAGGAAAAATGACGATAGTAAGGATGAGGAAAGAAAAAGCAGCAGTTCCCCCTATTTTGTTCCGGCACAGTATGAGCATGACATTGATAAATCAGCCCATTTAAAATTCTACTGTGTCACGGCTGTTCAGTTTCACTCTCCGAGCGGCGCACTTAGTTGTAGCCCGTCTGACCCTTCTGACCCCTGTGACCCCTCGTGGAAGGTAATAAATCTCGACGCGTTACGCCACTTTCACCGGCCTATCCCTAGATCTGACCTCTCCGCGCGGAAAGGGTACAATTTCCAGAAATTAACTGGAATTTACAGCATAGTGCTCCTTTTCTCCATCCCGTAAACCTAGGAGTGTTGTATACCAAATAAAAGCTCAGCATCTCCTCTATAACCCGTAGTTTGAAACCAGTTCCTATCTCGTTTTATACTCCGTTGGGATACCTATATACTACCACTATTGTACAGCTCTGTGTTATTGAAGTGTTTGGATTTAAAAGAGAATTTTAATAATTTTTGTTTTAACCTTCATATTTTTTTTTATAAATCTATTCTCTCCATTGTGGTGAAAAATCTCAGGGTAGGAGCTAAATTTCCATGAACTAGCGCACTTTATGTGATTAGTCTAGTGCAACGCTCGGTGCAAAGAAAAGCGCTGTGAAGGGGGAACTTGCCGTCTAACTTTCTTGTGTGTTTATAATTATAGAGCCTTTTAACATCAAAGATGGAACACTCTTATAACATCCACTTGGAGAATTTAAACAAGTAGTGTCGTACTTCTGGTGGAAGAAGTTTAAAAACTAAAGTTTCTAAGCAGCGTCGATTATTGCGTAAAAACTTTAAGTCTGACTTATTGCAATATTATAGACTGAACATTGACAACGACACAGCAACAAGCATTCCAACACTCTGTGCAGGAAATGTGGCTCGCGAATATACGCACTACGGAAGCAAATTACAAGGCTTTGAAGTCCGCACAGAAATTTGTAGAAGACAGTGCCTATGTTTGGTCCGCTTACGACGCAAGCATAAACATTAACCAGTGCTCTGTGTGTGCTCGCTGTGTTAAACTTAGCAAAGGGTGCATTAAAGAGCGCATTCCTTTGCTTACGGAAGGACACGAGTTGCCTTGTCCGTCCCCCGCTCGTATGGGAGTGGAGTCTGCGAGCATAACGGATACCCCCACCCCAGATGTTTCCTCTGTAAGTACAGGCGATGGTGCTCAGCCCTTTACCACTCAATCCATTGACAGCACATTTACACATACAGACGAAGACTCGTTTTACATTTCACCAGAAACTCATATTTTGACATCCACACCTAAAACGAAGACCGAACAGTTCACAGACAGTACCAGCTCCCCATTAGTCAAACATGAAACGACATTAGAGTCAACACTTTTGAAATCGGACACAGAGCTACTCACGCCGTTAGAAGAACAAGTTGCTAGATCTACACATCTGATCAGACGAAAGCTTAACACATCTCAGACGAAAGGATATTTGAGGTTCAAAACAAAAGGACAGCCATTAGTGTTTCAAAGGATAGCCATACACAGAATATCATCTGACTTAGCAAGCTCACCGACAAGGATACGAAGAACAAATATAATTAACAAAGTCAGGCAGTCGGTTGCTGGTAGAAGTAAAAGTGTTTTCCCACTCATTGACAAGACTGTGTGCATTAATCAACAATAGCAACAAGACATTCTGGTCCTACCTCATAAACGTAAGTGTGTTTGAAAGTTCAAAGTCTGACTGTGAGCTGAAAATTAAGACTGTAACAATCTGTCGGTCCGTCTATTTTTAATTATTAAAAAAAAAAAAATGTTTGTTTGTAATAACCAATCAATTGCAAACGCCACATTCCCCCTCTTTTAAACAACACTTTCTTTTACTTCTCTGTGATAAACATTATACTGTCGTAAACTACACCTTCGTCTTCATGTGATCATTTGGTTGTTGTTTCATTGACTTTCTCGGCTTTCATAAGAACTGGTGTTGTTTTATGTGTACAAAACATAACATTGCGGGGGAGCCGCTGACCGCGAGGCCGAGCGCCCGCAGGTAGCGTGACCGGGGCGTGACCGGGGCGTGACCTCGTCTCAGAGGTCAGGTCGGCCGGCAACTAAGCGATCCTGAGTGGAACAGCCGTGGTGTATAAGAACATGTTAATATCCCCACTTTGGCAGCGGCCTAAAGACACTTCAGTAAATAGCAATACCCTGGGGGGGGGGGGGAAGGTTTAACGTTGAGTCATAGGTTTACCATGAGTCTGCACAATAACTGATACCTTTGCTACACTGTCTGGACAAGCACTCCTTCCTATCCCTTCCTTCTTAGAGAGTTTTGTAAGAGAGAAAGTTCTTGTGTCACATCACCACGAACTCTGTTTGTGGGTGGTTGGCGGGTGCTCTCGTGTGGTTTGCTTCTTCTTTCTTATCAAACATCTATCATCCTTATCTCCCCTTCTTCTTTTTTATGTTTGTTACTCCCTTGTAACACCTCTAATCTTCTGGCGCTCATATGACCTTATGCAGTAGCGAGCACCATAAAACCCTCTACTAAAACTAAATTAAAAAACCCTGTTCCACCAAATATACTGTCAAAGCTTGCATGGTATCAACTCAAGTATCATACCTCCTATATCTACTCATCGTATCAGCTAAAGTATGAGTATCTCTACTTTCTGACATATTATTCCAAGACACTAAGAAGGTGTGCATGTCTGTTAAAAACCTCAAATTTATGCGATTAGCCTATTTTGTGAAAATACTCTCTAAATTAAATTCCAGGTTTTGTAGGTGGATATAGGGGTGAAAAATGAGTCTTTTACTCCTTCAGTAAAATCTGAAAAACCTGAGTTATGATAACTGTGCTGCAACCCCACGAACTGTGATCTGCACCCACTTACCAAAAAACATGGGAATGTCCATCTTTTCCTCATTGTCCACCTTACGCTTGATCAGCACCAAGTAGAAGGCGTAGAAAGCTGAACTGACCAGCGCCCAAATGGCCCCGACGGGGACTGTTTGTTTCTCCAGGTCCATGTCAGACAGACACACCATGGTCACACCACCCAGGCTGAGGTAGAAACACAGAAATATACCATGTTGAATAAAGACACTTTTCACTACAGTAACATATACGAAAAAAGCACAATAAAAATGACGTATCACATTATATCAACTTTCACGATGTGTGGCACCAGCCAGGCTAGGAAAGAAAGAACAGAGTCAAATACCATGCCACATGACAGTTTGCCCCCAAATAACACAGCTCACTCTTCATCTGATGATCCAGCCATTAGCTTCATCTTTTTTCAAAACGCCATACAATACATAATTTACATGACAACACATCGCAAACAATCTTCATCCTTCTTCTCCACACACACCACAGTCCATCATAAGACACAGAAAACAGGTCTCATCCCTTTCCCACACACTAAGTTTTCATAAAAGTTTTAAGGCACTTACAATACAATATAGTCATATAAGTGTCGAAGATTAGAGGCGTTACAAGAGAGTAACTAACATAAAAAAAGAAGGAAGTGAGATCAGGACGATAGATGTTTGACAGGAAAGAAGGAGCAACAAAAAGGCTCATCACTCTTTGCCACATGCTACACACCACACAAAATAACTGAGGACATAACCATCAGCTTCATCCCTTTCCCATACACACGACATACAACACATCATTCACCTGATGGAAGTAACCACCAGCTTTATTTCATCTTTTCTTCACACACTCTCCATACTATAAATGATTCACCTGCAGAGGACATAACCACCAACTTCATCCCTTCCCAACTTACAAAATACACTATTCATCTATTGAGGGTGCACAACACACAACACACAAAACACCCTGCAGACACAATCATCAGCTTCATCCCTTCTCCAAACACACGACACACAACACACTACATGACACACAACACACTATTCACTTGATGAGGACATGCAACATACTACACACTACACACAATACACAACACACAACACACCACTCACCTGATTAGGACAGGCTACATACTACACAAAACTTGCTGCGGACACAACCAACAGCATCATCCCTTCTCCACACACACTCCACACAACACATGACACACAACACACAACACCTAACACACAACATACAACACCTGCCTTATTCACCTAATGAGGACTCCCTACACACGTCATTAAACACCCTGCGACACAACCATTAGCATCATCCCTTCTTTTTTAGTTTAAGTAGAAATTTTACGGCACTTGCAACACAATAAGGTTATATAAGTGCCAAAAATTAGAGGTGTTACAAGAGAGTAACAAACACAAAAAAGAAGGAGGGGAGATCAGAGACAATAGATTTTTTACAGGAAAGAAGGAGCAAACCACACCAGAGCACCCACCAACCACCCACATCATCCCTTCTTCACACACACAACCCAGTACAAGACACATAACACGCTACAAGACACACAACACGCTATTCACCTAATGAGGACAGCTACCAGCTTCGACAGGGTAAACTTATCGCTGGGCCCGCTGGGGAAGATTGCAGCACAAATGAGCGTGAAGAGACCTGAGGTGGAGGACAGTACATTGACCACCGACGACTCTGTCTGGTTGAGGGCCTCCTGATACGTGAAATTAGCAAAGAACCACTGGGGACAAATAGGAAGAAAATTTTACTCTTCGTTTAGGTGAGAGTTTTACAGCACATGCAACACAATTAGGCCATACTAGTGCTAAAGATTAGAGGTGTTACAAGAGAGTAACAAAAAAAAAAAGGAGGAGAGAAAACAATGACAGAGAGGTTTGATAGTTTGATAAGATTAAGGAGCAAACACTTCTTTTTTCTTTTCTGTGTCCTGTTTAGTTGTTTTTTTATAGTCTTTTAAATCTAGTAAGAGTTTTACGGTACTTGCAACACAATAAGGTCATATAAGTGCCGAAGACTAGAGGTGTTACAAGAGAGTAACAAACACAAAAATCAAGGAGATATAAGGACGATAGATGTTTGATAGGAAATAAGGAGCAAACCACACCACAGCACCCGCCAACCACCCACTGTGTCCTGTCTATCGATTTAACAAGGTAACCGACAGTAAGCTCTTCCTTTTTCAGTGTAACAAGTCAAACATACACACATGACCCTTTTTTCTAACATACTAAACTTAAGAGTTTCCAAAAACTTGTTGATCTGACAAATTAATCACCCTACACCAACACACACGTATACAAATAACACATACAAGTACACAGAAAATGAGTCACCATTCTGAAGGCAAAAACAGCAAACCACAGTGACCATATACAAAAGATGTAGCCAGTTCTGTAAAAAAGAAAGTTCTTAATTCACCCCC